CCTGCGGGGCCTTTCCAAGGAGGAGGTGGCGAGGCTGAAGCAGCGCCGGAGGACGCTGAAGAACCGGGGTTACGCCGCCAGCTGCCGGGTAAAGCGCGTCTGCCAGAAGGAAGAGCTGCAGAAGCAGAAGATGGAGCTGGAATGGGAGGTGGACAAGCTGGCCCGGGAGAACGCTGCCATGCGCCTGGAGCTCGACGCTCTCCGCGGCAAGTACGAGGCCCTGCAGGGCTTCGCCCGCACTGTGGCCGCCCACGGGCCCCCCCGCAAGGGTGGCACTGGTGGCCACTGCCAGCGTCATCACCATCGTCAAGTCCGGCGCCAACCAGGCCGCCTATTCCTAGTGTCGGCCTCCGTCCCCCGGCCGGGCACAGCCCTGTCGGGGTGCCTTCCCCCACAAATCCCTTCCAGTACCCTCTCTGACCTCCTTCCCACCAGGACCTGTGCCTGAAATTCTCCTTCTCCCATCCCTTGACCTCCAGCTCCTCCGCGTAGGGAGAGCTGCTGCAGCGTGGGTGCTGGGGCGGGGTACAGGACCCCACTGGTGGCCTCCGCAGCCCCCTCTCCTCCGACCCAGCCCTCCCTGGCCAAGCACCCCTCACCCTGGAGGGTGCAGGCAGGAGAGGGTGAGCCTGCGCAGGCAGCCGTGGGGAAGCATCCCACAGCTCCAAGCTGGCAGGAAAACACCAGGTGCTGCTTTTTTTTGGGGAGGGCATGGGAGAGCTGAGTGTGGGCCAGGCACTCCCAGGAGCATGTGTCAGGGAGGGAAACGGGGAGAGAGGTTTCGCAGCAAGGGGCAGAAGGGATACGATGGAGAGGGGGGTTGGCATTGGCCCTGCAACTTGGACCACAGCTGGAGCAGGGAGGGAGGTGGCAGCATGGCTGGAGCCTCTGGGGATGGAGATGGTGAGGGAAGATGGCAGGTCAGAGGGGGAGAGAAAGTGGGTGCAGGTTGGTGCCTGGTAAGGGTGAACGGGATGGGGAAAGTGCCGTGGCAGCCTGTGGCTCTGGGGGAGCCCAGAGGTGACGGTGATGGAGGAGGGACTCTTGGGCAGGGGAGAGCTGTGGGACGTGAACGGGTCAGCCCAGGCTGTCATATGCAAAACGGAGAAGCAGTGGTGCTGTTTCATCTCTCTCCATCACGCACATCCTTCACGCCTCTTCCTGCCTACGGGATGCTCAGGCCGGCTGGCTGTCTCCGAAACGCAGCGGCACTGGCAGGAAGGAAGCGGAGGCAGCTGGAGCAGAGATAAACACTGTTTTGCTCAGCACAGGCCGGCTTGTACGGCCCCACCAAGCGCTCCCTGCACCCCACTGCCTACAAAGCCCACGGAAAGGTGCTCCTGGCCCCTGAGAGCCAGAGCTGCGGGGGCAGAGAGAGGGGTGGAGGTGCAGGAGGTGGGAAGCAGGGGCAGAGAGCATCCCTGCTCCTGGGAGCTGCCTGGCAGGCAGGTAGGCTCCTCCCTTTGTTTTTCCTCCACTTTGGACACCTGCTGTGGGGGACAACAGCTCTTCAGCAGGCTGAAATGCCGGAGAAGAGTTGGGTTTGCTAAATACAGGCAGCAAAGGGGAGGTAACATGAGGCAGACCCTTCTTGGCATCTGCTGCTGTAGATGATTCCCCCCCCTTTCTGCCCCTGCTTGGGTATTGCCACGCCAGCTGCCCTCGGCTGCAGCCTCCATCCCTCCCTGGAGAGAGGTGCCCAGCCCTCGTGGAGGGGGCACTGTGGCTAGCATCCCCCCCACCCCAACTCCTCTTGGGTTTATTTATTGCACGAACATAAGTTATTTTCACGTCCTCTTTGCCATTCCGCGCCTCGGCACAGCCAGGATGTTGGTACAGAGCCGTACTTTATATTTTATATATGCAAATCACATTTTATCTTATACTTATATAGAGCAAAAAAATACTTATTTATTTTCTGACTTACAGTATGTGTCCTACCCGACTCCTCTGTATTTTGTAGACTTTACAAATAAAGCAAGTTCTTTTTTTTCCACAGCGAGAGTGTGTTGGGTCATTCTTGAACTTCAGGACAGAGCTGTCTCTCAATGGGACCAGGTGTTCTAGCTCCCTCTAGCTTTGCTGCAGGACATATTCAAGAATGTGCCCAAAAAAGACAGGATGGGGGACAGCTCATGACTCTTTAGAACACAGATGTATAGTCTCTAGAAGAAAAGGGCTCAGTAAGCAAGCTTGATGCTGAACATCACCCCCCAAAGCACTTGCTTTCAGGAGCAGTTCAGCTGTGCTGAATCAGCTCTTCCTAGGAAAGGTAATGCTTTTCACTAGAAAATTTCTCTCCAGGCTGCCCTCAGACCTTGTGCAGGAGGAGAGGCAGGTGCAATCAGGGCAGCTCTACCCAAAAACTTCCCTGCCAAGTGACCTCACCGCCTGACTCAGGAGGAAAGCAGGGAGCTTGCGTCTGTGGGTGGCAGGAGAAGGGGAAGGAAGCGTGGCAGGCGCCTTACCCGGAGGTGAAGCCCAAGCTCCTCCCCCTGGGGAAAAGCCACCCTTCCTCGAGCTGAGGTGGAAGCAATGAGCATGTTCCCCTGACGCTCAGGCAGGCTAGGTCCCAGCCTCCCAGCAGCTTGCAACACTCACATGGTGGTTCCAGGTTTTACATTCACATTCCCTCTTGCCACCACAAACTGCCCCAGCCCCACCACCACTCATGGAAGAAAAGCCCAGAGCTGCTGTTTGCTGGGGACCACGCCAGAGAAAGCAGTCCCCTTTCTCCCACAGGTGTTTCCCAAGATCAGGACTCATCTCTACTCAAGGTTTTTGACAAATGGGTTTTGCTCCTGCCTTGGGCCATCAGTGATGTCTTGGTCCCAGGCTGCTGTAGCGCTGCTTCTCTGTCAGCTCCTGCACACACAGACAGCATGAAGCCGTGAAGCTTTCCTCTGGAGAAGAGGACTAGGAGGACAAGACACACTGACCCATTAAGCCTCAGCTCCTGCAACGAGCAAAAACTCCAAATCAGTTCAGAGAAGTCACCCCGACAGCACCACGCAGAGGCAGCTTAAGTACAATCTATATTATCTCTATATTTTTATTTGTCATCATATTTGCTCATTTCTGCAGAGTATAACGTCACAAAGACCAAAATAGAGAGAGCGGCTTGTCGCTGAGCTCACATCAGTTAAACACAATAGGTACAAAACTAGGTGACTCTGTCTTATTTATCATACATTTTTTTTTTCAGTCGTTTATATACAAAGAACTACTCTATATGGAAAAATAATAAACAAATCCCATGAGTATGTTACATGGTAAACAAAAAGGAAGGAAGGAAGGAAGGAAGGAAAGGGGAAGCAGGTGAGGGAGAGCAGCTCCAAGGGCCTAGTCCTGGAACCAACACATTTGTTGGGGCCCTGGGCTACTGCAAGCAGACCTGCAAGACCACAGATGCCTTGGCCTCCTTGGTCTCAAGCTCTGGATCTTATAAGATATTTGTTCCTCCAAGCCAGAGCGGCTTCAGAGCCAGTCCTTGCTCTGGCACTTACCTGTTGTGAGGGAGAGCAGGAAGCTCAGAGATGATTTTGTGTGGTGTTAAAAAATGTGTGTGTGTGTATGTGTGTGTGTA